GCTAGTTGCACGAGGACGAAGTGCGGCCCGAGTAATTGCATCGTCGCCAGCCGTTGCGACAGACGTCCTACGGTCCACTCTTTGAACGCGTCCCGAAGTTAGATGGGTCGTTAGTCGGAAGTAGAGTAACCGGAAGTTAGCCAACCTGGAATAGAGTGCCGCGAAAGCGGCCCGGCATAGAACTCGCCTCCTTTCTTCTTTGTTTCCATCCATCTCTTCGTGTCGCTTGTACATCCTCGTTTGCTCCATTTAACGCATCGCTGGGCCGCGAGTAACATTAATAGAGAGCAGACGCATTGCTCCTCTCTAGGGCCAATACACGTCGATAATTACTCCACTGATTTCGAATAGAAATTGCAGTGAATCGATTCCGGGATGAAACCATCGATGGAATTAACTAAACACGAGTAAACCTTAAAAAAGAACCGAGCCACGAGGAACCTACGGCCTTCCCACTATTCCAGAATTTCAATCCGACCTTTCATATAAAAAAGATTTCCTATCCCGGAACTAAACCAAACGCGTACAAACTGTAATTCTAGTTATCTTATCGTTCTCGTTGAATTCGTCCTCCGCTTGGTCACGAAACGCGATGAAACAAACGGAGAATTCGTATTTGCAGCATTTCAAGAGGCCATTGAACACGGGCAAGCTTGTTGCGCGATGAACAGAGTTAGGTACGAAAAGTGGCGTGCGGTTTCACGCAGCCAGAAACTTTTCTATTTAGTTGGCAACTCTCCGACGCGGGACGCTACTTCCGGTTTCGTAGCTCCTTTGCATTTAATGAGTAACCGCTGAATATTCAGAAACAACACGAGCATCGTGTATAGCGCACCCTCCCGCGTTCAGGAATTTGCGTAAAAAACTGGGTCGTCTCATCGATTCCTTAATTACCGTCCTCTCCTCAAGAATTCCTTTATCTCTTCCTTTTATGTACTCCGGGTTATTATTGCCCGAACAACGGGAACAAAGGGCGACGAATAATAAATCCCGATGAGTTGTTTTCAAGATGATAAGCGAGCTTAATTCCGTGTCTCTTCAGCTTTCGTTTCTCCTCTTCTACACATTTTAGCATCCTCTCCAGAGATTTCAGTAATATCATATCCTAATCTTTACGCGAGCACAAGTGAGAACGCATTAAAACCTGCGAATTCCTCCCTTGTTCGCTGGTCGACCCGACATTAAAAGAGCACAGCTTTTTCTGTTCAGGACGGGTTAGCTGTTGGGGAGTCGTGCAATAAGTCAGATCCGTCATGAGATTGCGAGAGGAGAAGTCCTTTGGTGAGAAACAGAGAGAGAGAGAGAAAGTGAGCACTTCTGGTCGAAACAGGCTGAATGGAGGTAGGGATAAAACGTGAGAAGACAGTTTGACAAAAAAGAAGATGAGGATCAATTCTCCTCTCCTCGTAGCGATCATTATTCTTCCTTGTGCCACAGAACATCTTTAATCTCTCACGATATGTCGCTCCTTTAATAAAACTGCACGATTGCGAACTTACGCATGCTTTCTTCATAATACATTCAAGAAAGTTGCAGGACAGTCTTATTTCGGTATTCAAAAATTTAGCCAGTGCCATGGGAACGACTGGCCCCTCAGGAACCAAAATCGGGACGAATCTCATCGGGAAAACGTCGACGCGATGTACAATGCCCGAGAGGGCGAGGGAGGGAGGTTTAAATACGGGGAACAGGGGTTGCGTTTTGAAAAGCCGTCATGGTGGAGTGATCGAGTAGTAGACGCGACCCAGCCAGTGTCAGATACAGCTGCGTTGTTAATTGTCCTTCAGGGATACTTCATCCCTGTTTGCCGCTATTCAATCACGTTTCGTCCGTTTATATCGGTGTTCCCCCTGTTTCCAATTAGAAAACGAATCGCGGATCGCCGCGGACTTCGTTGCAAAGACCGAAGGATAATTTCCGAACTCGTGTGCGCGATACCAAATTCTGTTACAATACATAACGCGATGCATCGAATTGGACGACACATCTCAATCCAAGTATCGAAGTTTTGTTTAATTAACGTGAACGCATGATTCATTAAACCCTTTCTATCGTTCTCTGCAGTCACGTTGTATAGTTTAATTGTATGCGATAATGACGTTCCAAGAGATAGCGAATAATCAGGATTAACGGCAGGCCTGAATTTTTACCAGTCGCCGCCTTCCTGAAATTCATGACGAGCTCTAGTCTAATGAAACGATCGCGTCAGCTTAAATCAACGTACCAGCCGATGTTTTATCTTATTCCGGCCTCGGGGAGACACGGTTAAACGGCAAGGGAATGGAACCGTCCAAAGAGGATAAAAGAACCGACGATGGAAAGAATTTTTTTTCTATTTGGAACCTTGTTTGTAATTTAAATCGGTTTACGGTTTTATACAATTTTAAACGAACGGAGATGCAGCGTGTTAGCCGATCGATGAACGTAAACTCTCGGAAACGGAATTAATATCGGCACATTTTGACCGTGTTTCGCTCTGTTAAGTAAACAATTGTCCCGTAAATATCTATTTTACGTGTGTCCCCATCCCTCTCCTATCTCCGTTTAATATCTCCGCGTTCTCGGACCGTACGGAAATTAAAGAATTATAAACATTGACAATATTCGTATCTGAAATTGCTATCCTATAAAAGCACGATCTTTCACATAAATAAAAAACGCTGTTTAAGAGATTCCAATCCGTTTCAATGAATTCTATATGAGTCGTCCCTCGTTCAACTTCAATTACGTCTTGTTAACTGGTAAACGATTTTGGTGAAAGATTCAAACGAAGTCAACCTGTCCATCGACGGGCGTGAAAACAAGTCTCGTCGACGGGAACGAACTATGCTAAAATGATTACGAATGTGCGATGGCACGTTGAACGGCGTGCTCCCGGCACTGATTTAATTGTACGAAACTGCTCGACGGCACGCATCCGAGCGGATATACGCGGTACGTGCACACACACTAAATTCTGGTAGGCAACGTTTAATACGGAGTGTAATGTGGGAACAATTCTGCCATGTTCTCTTACGTTACAAATGGGAACCGCGTTACAGCCTGAGAAACGTTATAAATCGAATCCAACGCAAAGTACATGCTTTTTTCCCTTCTTCGTTCCCCACGCAAATGTGATAAGCTTCTTTCAATTTTGTCGAACGGTCGACTGATACTTGAATCATTTCATATCTGATGAATCTACAATTTTAATTGTAGATAAGTACAATTATAGATTCCGCAACTCTAATAATAAAGCGCGGCTTGAGATAATCCTGAAGATCACAGGACTGTGTATGCAAGCGTGCTTCATCTCGAATGCATTTCGTTTCGATCCCATCGCGTCCGCAACCGCGAGTGACGAAGATCCGTCACCCAAGAACGGTATTCAGAGAATCGACTACGTGAACACAATTTTTACCGTCGATCGATCGAACGCAAATTTGCAGAAACAGGTTGAATACAGCAAGAACTGAAAGCGGGTCAACCTGCCCCGTCCTACTTACTTATATGCTAACAGGCGCACAAGAAGACAATTACCTGCCTGACCCTCCTGTACATATTTAAGAAAGGTAAAACAGACAAACCAGCAGACTCACACGGCACGACGGTACGTACGGGCTCTCATTTACTCGGATGCAAGGACCTGCAGGAGCCGTCTCGGGACGACCCCACACCCGCGTTTTTGTACCGCGTGTATTTAACATACACAGATTCACACCCTGAAATGTGTACGTACCTGTAATCGACTAGCAAGACTAGCCGCTACAGCAAATTATTATATTAACTTTCTGAATGAATCTGATACATACATTTCACGTGTGATCATTCGTTACTCATATGTATTAGAAGAAAATAACATTTAAAATAATATTATGGGTCACATAAACATTATATAATGGGTCATATAAACGCTCGTTCAACAAGTATAAAATACAACCAATTACCCGTGCCGTTTTGGACCTTTCGTCCCGGCATGATTGAGTAATCGGAGGAACTTAAAAGCGTATAACTCACTGCAATAAAAACGTTGCTTCCATCAAGGGTTGTAGGATGTCAAGAACCCGCCAAAAGTTGAGGGATGCCAGAAACGAGCCAGTCATCAAAGAAGAACGATCTAATCGAATTAAGTAAATTCTACTCTTAATTCAACTGATGACAGTTCGAAAACAAGAAGAATTTCGAAAAAATATCGAGATAACTTGCGAAAGTACAAGCTGTATATCCCGGGATGTTCAACAAGTAGTTAAGCAAACGCGTCTTTGTTAATTGGCATTAGTAACGAAAGTATAGTACAAATAACAATGAACGAACAGTAGTTACACTTACGTGAAGCAATAAATCCATCCAAACTAGTAACAATTACGTGCACTCAAGGTTTTAAGGATTAAAATCAAACGCCGGTATGCCGAAATACGTAGGAAACACTTGACACTACGTCGCATTTATACGAGAAGAAAAAGCAGATGGCGGGCGCTCAAGTCAGTAGAGTGGGAGGTCACGTGAGCGATCACGTGACTGCGCGGAAATTCAAAATTATACCGCTCTCGACTCTCACAATCGAGGAATGTTCTCTCCTACTGAAATTCCTCAAATCTTGCAACACTAGATCGCACGTGCGGTATAAATCCCCCCCCCCTCGCCCCTTTGACAAATCGGTACGCGAATTGACCAGAAAATCCTCTCAATTTTTCTAATTTCGCTGCGAAGAATTTTGACATAAATCAGATCTCCTCGCATCTGGGAAGCTTGCAAAATCACCCGTACATATATCTCACGCAGCTGGTAAGAGACTCGAATAAATCTTTCAGCCTGGAGGTAAAGCGAAACGAGAGGATAATATAGGTATTCTCGAGACATCAAATAATGTTATACCAGCAGCGAAATTGAATTATATCTGCGTGCTTTTACTACGTTTAATGTCCTACTATTTATTTAACATGAAATGCGAATATTGCCTCTGAACGAGAATTGATAATCTCATACGTACAGCTACCATTTGGCATAAAAGACAAGGCGAAGACTGGCGTGATAATCGTTTATTATAAATAACTATTAACACGTTTTCCATTTTACGTACATCTTACGTGTTACTTTTTTGTTTTTGCTTCGTTCATTGCTTAGGAATCCATGCAATAATATACGTTACAATGGAGCATTTTTTTGTTTATCCAGTTACTTCGGAATTACAAACATTTACTGGTAATACGGTATAGTTATTCGTGTCACGATTATTTACAGAAAGAACGATCATCGATATACTGGTGGCGCAAAAAAGTTCGACCAGTAAATTTTACAACTAACCGTAATTATATCTCGCTGATTAGAGAACGGGGCAATACTAATTATACGGAGCAGGAATCCGAATCGCGTGTCCCGTTTTCGTTAATCGCCGACGCTACGGTTGCTGCGCCTTAGATAATACCATCGCCGTTTTATTTTTGCTCCTTTTTCGTGAAACATCGTTTTATCAAATGCAACGGTATTTCGGATCGATCCGAATATCCACAGCTCTATCTTTATCTATGCGAAACTATCAGATCTGTGTATTGATCCACTGTTTTCGCTTTTAATCAGTTAAAAAAGAAGGAAAAGAGAAATTATATATTAAAAACAAAAGAGAAAGAACAATTGAAAAAAGAAAAACGTATCGTTGCTCGAAGGCAAATGTCAATTATTATTTTTTTTAACTTTTATAGAACGCAAAGCAGCTTTGAAATAAAACCTGGTCTTGTCGTTATTCGATGAAATCGCTGAAAAGGAAACAGGTGTTGAAAAATGTTCGATCGTTTCTCGAAACTATTTTCAACCAAACGCCGAACGCGTAATTTCTTCCTTTTTTTGTGATTTTTGTATTTTTTTGTTTTTTAATCTACTTCTTATCTTCTGTAAAAAATACAAGTGCGGACCGTTTCAATTGATGCAGGCACGATAAATATATTAAATCACACTGCGCACACGTATCAAGTGCTAACTGCATTATGCGTTTCAATTTTCTGCATCGTTATTATCATCTCTACTCGCGAATTGAGCGCAATGCGACGCTGAGCTAAACAACAGTTGAGACGATTCACAACGGAAATATGAAAAGCGCAACGAACAAACGGGATCGTGAACTGTCCGTAACGAAAAGAGCGGCGGTCATAAAATTAGTCGACTGGCACGAAATCGTCATTGCCGTGAAGAAGGTCTGTGTAATTACGCTGTCCGCGATCGCGCGCGATTTCGTCTGTTTATTTCGATATTATCCGTAGCTGTTCGATCGATAAAATGAATTTCGTATCGTTGTTCCGTATCGTATCGCGCTCGTTATCAAAACCGTCTCGTTTTTCATTCCACTTTACCGGAACCCGGTTCGCGTGTCATTTAAAGTCAGTCGCATTGCATGATAGAGAGGGAGGGATACCGGCTACGTAAACGAGGAACACGTATAATAAATATCGAATAACAGTTGTTACTTATAGTAATACGAAGTAGTAGAATGCAGCATACATATAGAATAGCAGTAGCCACAGAGAGTATCTACTACACAAGAGTTTTTCACATTCATACTAGATTCTTTTACTTTTGTTTAATCGTTGGCTACTTATCCCGCGCTTATCGTTTTCTCTATTAGCATCTCGTCAATCTCTCTCCATTCTTCTCCTCTCTTCGAACACGCACTCTCTACATAGGTACACTTGCGAATCTCTCTCGCCGATTCATCCATTTCACATTTCACACACACTCACACATACTATTTTCATCGCATCCTCTTCGTTCCTCTCGAATTATCGTTTCGTCTTATATCGTCAAATGTATTCAACGGAAAGATACTAGTGATCAGTTTTCCATTCATCTTGATTCATCCGTCAATCAACTGAAAATTTGACCACAGTACTAAGACTTCCCGCCTCTCTTCGCCTCTCGGGTCAGCCCGTTAATTTTTTCGTTCGTCGATTAACACAAACAATATAGACTTTTCAAAATGTCCAACAATGTCTATTAACATCCTTTAGCTATTCACACACTTTCGAAACCATCTTCTCCATCTCAACGTCCGTGTCGATATCGTGATGTACGTGATTACTGGCACTGGCGTTGCCGATGGGACCAACGGAGTTGCTGATCGGTGTGAAAAGCTTCGGTTGCACTGTCGACGTTGGCGTGCTCGTTGTACCCGGCGGCGTGCTCGTTGCACCTGGTGGCGTGCTCGTTGCACCTGGTGGCGTGCTCGGTGTACCCGGCATCCCGGAAAGTTCGATCGGCGAGCCCGGAGACGCGAGCGGTTCTACCAAATCCTCTAGACCTTCGGGAGTTGGTAGCTTGCTCAACTCTTCCCTCAGCAGACTGTAGTGTCTCTGCAACAAGCGATAACAATTCGTTTCGGCGAACGTCAAACCAGATACATGATAACGCGAAATGAAACGTGGCTTATTACTTACTCTTAAAGCTAACGCGTTTAGAGAAAGAGTGCGGCCGAATCTGCGATCCGATCCGTGCAATTCCATATCCCTTATCCATCCTTCCAGTTGTGCAACGATCTCGTGTCTCTTTATCCAAAAGTGAGTGTGTATCACCTGTAAGCGTTAGTAGATTTAGCATAATTGATGCTGTAATTTGAAGAAGTAGAAGAAGAAAAGATAGAGTAGACTAGCTCGCCGTAATCACCTCTTTGAAACAGGGACATGGATTGCGAATTTGATCGAGCATCGCCCATTTGGCGGTGGCCTGGCAAATGTTCGCGTTGTATTCTTGACTAGACTGAGCCCCGCGCGTTGTACCCCGTGACCGTTCGTATCCTGGTTCGTTGAAATAAGGCTCCGATACTAAGATCAGCGACTGTATCGATACTAAGACCTATACGCAAGCGAATATTTTAGTTAGATCGATCATTTAAATTAATTTCCGGTAGCTCGGTGACAGGCACTTACCTGCAGGAAACTACTAGTGTGTGCATTCCATTTCTCTTCAGGACGGCCGTGCCACGTGTTCAGCACGCTCAAACAGACCTTTCCGTCGTTGTACAAATTCGGATTGAACCGTACAGTATGGCGTCCAGTAGTTTCTAAATTAATTAACATCGGACTGTTAGGATATTCCGGAGGGAAGTACACGTCGAATTCGAAGCATCCATTCGCGTATGGTGTTTCCGCAGGCCCTGTTATGAGTACCTATGCAAACAAGAAATAATTTAATATTCTTGTCGATTTAGTCAATTGCATTCCGTTCGATATGTACCTTCATCACGTCTAATCTGTCCGCGTCACATCTGACGAAAACGCTGCTGCTATACGATAGAGGCAACGCCGTGGAGAGCGTGACTGCCTCCTGCGCTAATCTCTTCACCCTCATGGGGTGACTTCTCTCGCCGGCTGCCCTCATAGTCGACTCGAAATGATAAGACACGGCGAACTTGTAACCGCCAGCCTCCGGATTCTCGGTGATCATTTCGAACGTGTCGAACTGTAAGTTCTTCATAACTTCGATGTATCGTTGTTCGATGGAGCGCAAAGGCAATTCGAGAGACGTGGGACTGGGACCGGGTAACTCTTCCTCGATTCCCGACAATCTCGAGGTAGCGTTTTGCACTATAGTAGCGCTTTCTTGAATGTCGGGAATCAACGTCGCTAGACCTTCGTCCTGCTCGGTGTCGTCCAGATATTTGAACACCGTTTTTGACTTGTTGTTCCTGGTGCGGTTGATCTTGTGAACGTATGTGTCGACGCAGACCTTCATGCTGGAAAGCAGCGACACGATGGACGGTTCGGTCGATTTACCGCCTCTCGGTAGCAGCAGAGGAGCCAATTGACTCGACAATGCCATAGCTCGGAGCAGCTGCAGTACAGCACGATACAAAGGAATGTGCCTCGCCATGTCCAGTACCGAGTCGTTCCTCAGGTATGATGACAAGGCTGGTAGTAAACACGATCGGGCTAACAGATCGGGGAACGAGAGTGGGAGTTCTCTTTGGGTCTGACCACCAGTACCGATATAACTAGCCAGTACTTGCAATAATACTGTCACGTGTTCCTCTTCGGATTTTTGCCGCATCAAAGCTTGCTCGACATTCCAAGACTGTTGGATGGACCCGGTACCGAACCCGGTACCTTTGGCCCAATATAAATGCGAATTGTCGTCGCTGCGTCCCGCCTCGCCCTGACTTCCACCAGCTTTCTGCTCCGCGCTCTCGTTCGAGCTCGTCTGATGGGTAAATACAGCCAAGCAATTCAGCAATAGAAGCATAGCACCCACTTCGATGGTAGTTTTACGGAGAAGCAGACCGTCGTCGGTGGTCACAGGAGTGGCGTCGAGCAGTTGCTTCAAAACTTGGAACGGCAGCGTTGGTAACAGCGCAGCTAACGGCGACGTCAAAACATCGCCTCCTTCGCCGTCGTCCGAAACGCCTAAGGCCAAGCGTAGAAGACATTGTGCCCGTTTGCGATCTCTTAGTAACACCTCCGCGTAACCCGGAAGTCTGAGGAAAAGTCCGAAGGCGGCGAGGGAATGCGGTGGCATGTACGCCGCCGGAGACGATGCCCACGACGTGGTGTTGCTTCCGCCTTCTTGTGGCACCGCGACGACTTCCCATACATCGTCGTCGGTAACTTTGACCCAATCGTCGCACGTCTGCTCCGGTGACGGTATCGTGGGTGGCGGTGGTCTCGAATCCCTGTACATCAACGGTAAATGCCTCGCAAGTACCGCTAAACCACCGCCTGCACTGAACACACCTAACGAGCTTTCTATACTTCTATAATTCAGTAACTCGCTGTCGGTCTGTTTCGTTATGTCCTCTTTCGAATCTTTATTACGTTGACGCAATATAAGATGTAGACAAGGTTCTGATAATGATATTCCGCTGTCCTCGGCGATAGCCAGGAGTTGTGCGATGGTCAATTGCGGTGGCAAGGGAGTGTTCGGTCGCGACGAATGTGTTAAATATTGTTGATTGGCAGAATTGTTAGAGCTCTGTTGAACGTTATTACTACTACTCGCCGACGTTTTGCTAGTACTTGCTGCGCATTCGGGAGAATGTCGTGGCCTCCTCATAACAGGACCTCGGGCTTGCGATCTATTCGACGCTTCTTTAGCCCTCTTATCCTTCGCCGTATTTCCGGCTGCTACGCTAAGTGCATCTACCAGCATAGTACGAATTTCGGATTCCCAAACCTCCCTGTTATTCGTCCGGTTGTTACTCGTTCCAATCTCGTTACTCTTGTACGTGTTTGGTAGCAGAAGAAAAAGCCATGTACCGGATACTTGCTGCAATATATCTGCCACCGTCGACTGAGTGGACATGTACAATAGTTGATGATAATGACCGAGTGGATGAGCTGGATGCGGAGGCATAGACAGCATACTATAATTGGCCGCCGTGTTCGAAACTTTCATCGGTGCATCGGAAGTCACGGATACTAACACTTTCTCACCTTCCAGTAATAATTGCAGGATCAATCGTCTGGTGAAACCAGAAATTCCGTGAAGATACCGCGTGCTGGAGGTCGTTCGTTGTTGAGATATGACGTCTGTTAATAATTCAGCTAACAACTTTTGATTCTCGAGGTGGCACCAACAACATCTCGATAAGAATTTGATCATCGCGCTTTCCAACGAAGCGTACGAGATGCTTGTCTTCGAACACCTCAACGAGGACAGAGATGGATTTTCTATAGGTCGATTACTGAGGAGAGAGAGCAATGGTAACCAAAATCCACGGCCCTCTTTCCCGAGCCAATCCCGCATTCTGCCTTCGGAGCATACGAGCGTCAAGAATTCCAACACCATCGCTATACTTTCCGGCTCAGTCATACATAATCCACCCATGTGGCTGTTCGTATCCATTGAAGATTCACCGACTTTATCGTTGTCCGTTAAACCTCCTAAACTACTGCTCATACTGTCTTCCGCAGACATTCGTCTACTTTGCGGCTGCTCTTGTCGCGTGCTTTCCAAGTTGCAAAAGTCGGTGATCAAGACGGTCAATAAAGCAGGAAGTCCGGAATCTATTAGTTGTTGAATACCCGGCGGGGACCGAGCAGCCGCAGCTACTGTCAACAGCTGTCCTTCCGTTAAATTTAATCGTTTATATTCCGACAATACGTAACGATAGTACCATTCCTCGCCATTGTATTCGCTTTTTCTGTCGTCCGTCTGTCCCTCTCTTTCCTTACGATCGTCCGAAATAGACGCAGAATGAACTGTGGCCATGTTGGGTACCAATATTTGTACTTTCTGGAGGAGTAGCGGGAACAACGTCGGTCTTACGTAGCAGAACGCGCAAAGGACAGAATCCACCGCTTGTTTCAGGGCCGAACCCGTACCTAGGATCAGAGTCCACTGATACAGAGCGTTGAAAAGATCATCGGACAACAGAACTGGAAGATCGTAATCGAGATTCTGCTGTTGATGAGCTTCCCATATGATGGAAGACACACAATGAATATATACAGCAGGTGGATTGATAACGTTGGGACTATTGCTGGGCCGCGAGGTCCCATTCACGGCTGACGCGTGAAGCCAAGAGAGCACCGCGATCATGCGAGCTTCCGTGCTGGAATCTTGAATCGAGCATAGCTGCTGGAGTAACTCGACGACTAGTTGAACGGTCGACGTTTCCTGTGTAGTTCCGATGCCTTGGTAGAACGAAGTGGACCTGTTGTTTAGTAAAAGTCCAATAAGACGAAGTCCAAGTTCTCGAGAGTGCAAGCCTAGTTGCAGTAATACCCTTTCCAGATTTGGAGTGAAAAGAGACGGAGCTGGGAGCAACAGGAGGTTGCAACACGCCTCGATAAATCCATCGACCGAAGCCGCGGAATTAAGCACTTTCACAGCGAGGTTGCTGTTCAACGTGCTCACGGATAAACACTGATGGAGCAATCGCAACCAGCCTAGACTCGTTTTAGTGAGTTGCTCTTCGTCGATAGCATCGTGACTCGTTTTAATTTCGCCGAATGCTGCCGTACCTAATAATCTTATCTGGCTCAAACTGATGTTCGTCGAATCTCGCGGTTTGTACAAACGCACGAGTACGGACGTTGCCACCTCCGGTTGTGACAACGTGATTCGTATGAACGTCAAACCTGCCGTAGGCATTGGCGGGCAAACGGGAGCCAGCGGACTGTTGCTTTCTCTTGAGACCTCAATAGCAACGGCCGACGGGCACGTGGCTAAAGACGTGAGATGCGGTTGCAACTCGACTTTCCTCAGTAGTATGGCACAAGGTAAAGTGATCGTAAGGTCGACCCAAGCCTCGTCGGGGTAGCAATGGTAAAGCCAGGCGGCCGTCCGTGCTCGTTTATGCGGTGTGGAACTTTGTATAAGAACGTCAGCTGATTGCGCGGTTGGATTTAACCAAGATATCGTCCCTAAAGGTGCGAAGTTCAGCAGACCGTCTTCATAAGTCTCCAAAGTGTTCACAGACTTCTTGCTGCCCGAAGAAGAGGTTGGTAATCCGCTTGGAACGTTCGAAAGATGTTCCATTACCATCGCGATCACTCCGGGCGAGGAGGAAGTAGCGTTGCCACTGTTGCTCGATTTCACCAAATTCTCACAGAGTACTTTAACGCCGCCCATCGCTGTGAACATCGCCAATGAGACCTCGTTATCCAGAACCCTCAGAATGTACCACAGAAGTGGCTCGGACAGCTGCATGACTCCCAATTGACGATCCAGCTCCCTTTGTCCGCATGATGAAGAAAGATATTGGTAGAGCGGATTTAGGACTAAGGAACGGTTGCTCGCTTTCTTCGAAAGAGTCGTTAGAAGTTGAAACGTGGCATCCGGTATCGAAGCAGGATCGCCGAGTTCGGTTGCCGTCCCCGCTCCGGCACTTTCTCCGAGGAGCATAGCTAAAGACGAGCCGGTGCTATGACCGAGAGCGCCCAGCAATCGCATCATGGTAGGCTCGTGTTGCAAAACTATAAAATTGTTAAACATCAGAAGCTGCGCCAACGTTAATCACGTTTCTCTACGTACCAGTGTCTGCAATGCATCTCACGCGAGGCTTGCTAGATCCGCATTGTTGCCCGCGGGAAGAGGATTGTTGTTCTGCTACTTTGCTTTCATCGGTCTGTGAGATATTTGCTTTCATCTGATCGTCGCCTACATCAGATGCAGCGTCGAGGCTAGATTCCGACATATCGATTCTCATCGAGCTATCGGGTGAGCCGGTCTCTGGCAACGGTGTTTGAACAAGTCGACATACTAATTTGATAAGAGCCACGACCAACGTATCCCACGAAGCTGGACGACCCTGCCTGGTATCTCCACTGAACACGCAAGCGAATAAGCCTCCAAAACCACCGGATGAATTCGCCACATCAACGGTACCTCCGCATTCAGCTTCAACTGTTATGAAAAATTCATGAAAAATTCTGTGTAACAGTTCGATGCTATCTCACAGCGGCTTTTAGAATTACCTCCGGAACTGCTCACGTAAGTGGAAACTAATACACCAACGCATTCTGTTATACTCATCGCAGTCCCCAAATCAGTATTTGTGAAATTCAAATTTGTCAAAGATGTTATTAGTTTGTATTGTGCGTCCAAGGGTCCTCTTCTCGTGGAGAGTGCTCCGCCAGGTTGTACGAGTTGGTAAATCACCCATAATAGGAGTTCCTTCAACGAATTTCCTAAGGCGCTACCGGGCGTAAACACGTCGCATCTCATCTTTAGTCTAGCTAAAAAATCTCGTAGCGCTTGGCAAACTGTAGGGCCAGCCTAAACAAATAAAAAACAGCATTAACATGCAAATCCATGAATAATAATTCGGAAGGTAATAAACGTACCATGATATAGTGTTTGTCTACGGCGTTAACGTTTAATCCGCTGCCGGAAAGTAAACGCAAAAGCATAAAGCCCAAGTTGGACTCCTTTATTATACATCCAGCCATTCCACCTAAGACGCCATCCAACTGTTGTCTGCTGTTCGCAGCTTCTGTAGGATCCGTATGGAACGCTTGGTTGCTTCCCAGAGTCAAGCATTGAAGAGCAAGGCACCATACTCGCAAAGAGACGCCTGGGTGCCTATACGATACGATGAGAAATCATAATACAGAAATGTATATCCTACAAATGACGTACAAATAAATATAGAATTATGTTTACCAAGATAATGCAGATATCAGGCTGGAGATGGCTGTAGAGCTGAATGGGATGACAGGTGTGAGCGAAGGATCAAACTGATTGGAGGAACTCGATTGATCCGAGGAAGCGTCCAAATTCAACGTCAACCAGAGTTGTAGGATAAGTTCCAAATTTGTTCCCGTATTCTGAAATGAGAAATTATATTTAATACGTTCAAGCATAAACCAAATCGTGCTTTCATTTCATATTCCTCCGTACTTGTAAATATAGCTCTGTGAATATCTTATCGAAACATCTGGTAAATATCAATAAACTTGCAGATGTTGTATCAGGGGTATTCCAAACATCTTGGGTCTTTTCGTTCCAATTCGATTCAGCTTTCGGCGTCGGTTGTTGCGGATAAGATCGGTTTGATTCCGATGGTACCTATCGACAAAGAGCAATTAAAGTGAACTTTTTCCAAACAGAATTAACAGACAGAATGGAAATCATTAACTTACCTGCAGCGTAGTGCTTATGCTGTAAGGTAAATTGTACATGCTGAACATAGACAATGTCCTCAACGATAGCTCTATAGCCATTTCTACACCGTATTCCAATCTCGCATCCATTGCCAACGAAATTCTATTAAAAACGATATGATTAATTGACTCTAATTTAATTATGATATGCTCAAGCGTATAGATTCACTATACCCAGACATATTCACGTTCTTAGGCAGTGGATGGCCTTTCTTCAACATATTTTTCCCGCGTTCCAAAATATCATCCAACAAGTCCTCGAATTCACTGTCGTCGGACTCGAGAAGTGAAGGTAGAAATCCGTTTGATTTGGAGGTCGAGGCACCTGCCGATGGTACAACTACGCAGTCTTGAACGTCTTCTTCTCCTTCACCTTCAGCGAAACCCTCGTCGTTACCAAGCGAAACGCCGCTATTGCTCGTTTCAGCGACGCTACTGTATTCTTCATCTGGCGTTCGAATTTTCTCGGTAACAAGTGGCTCGAACGTTTCATCGGAAGGACTCCCTTCATGAGAAGAACATGCTTTTGAAACTAGTTTACCGCCTGAAATAATAAACGATTAAGGAAGATTGAAAAGGAGATGATAAAAAGCATTAAAAAATTTGCAATAAAATTTGATTCTTACCTTCCAACAAATCCTGCAAAAGGCACGAGACTGCGTGCGAAATCCAGACCGCATCGGAGGTGCCCGTTGCCAATTGGACTAATTTTAAGAGCAGTTCTTCGTTCATAAGCTCGCACAAGCTAATTGCAGGACGTGTAGATATCACTAGCCTAGCGACTACCTATATGGCACAACATTCAACAGTTTCAAAAAGTTGCTTTCAGAAAAAGCATAAACGTAAAGCATCTTGTTATGTATTAAAAACCGTCAAATATGTCTACAAGCTAAGTAACGTTTCAGTCGTAAGTTCATATCGTAATACTAAGCGAATGTACGAATAGGGTATCAGTGAAATTCTTATATAAACAGGTAACGTGCGTCATGATAAACCATTTCTTTGTAAAACGAGTTTGCGTACCTTGCAAGCTAGTAGGAACATATCCACATTAGCAGAACTGTACAAAATAAGAGTGATGAGTCTACGAGCAACAGGCAGAACGTGTTGATGTGACAAGTTGGATATATATTCGACATCCACATCCGCCGTCTCTGATTTGCTGGAACTTGAATAGAAACTGAATGTTGGAAACTGTTGGTTATAAATTTCTGTGCACATTTCATATGAACTTTTGCGTTGAATACCTTGGATTTTGTGGTAATTGCGAGCTACGGGAAGTGTTCAGCACATCAGGTTTGCGAATACTAAAAATATCTTTGAAATGCTTGGTAGAATTTTGTTTGAACGTCTTCTTAAAGAATTGCTCTTGCGATTTTAATGTCGCTTTCATCTTGCTGCACAATGAAGTGGTGTGGGACGATAAATTAGACAGTCCCTGTAAAATGTATACCGGTTGTTTAACACATTTATCTATTCCTCGATGTCAAGTAAAAAGGAGATGATTCGTACCTGCGCTTTTGTATGGAGCGCTTTTTTCGCCTGCTCCAATTCTTGCAGTTGCTGCTTGTGATGCATTATGTGTTTCTGCAGTTTTTTACGCATATTGCAAGAAACCGGAGAGCGACTTGCGTTACCGTACTTCCTCTGCATCGCCGATTCTACTTGAATAAACTCCCAGCGGGACAACAAACCTGTTGAAGAAATTTCTATGGTACTTGAGCTTCGAACAATCAGTGTTGTTCTTTATAGAAAAAATATGATACCTTGTTCTTTACTTTTCTCACCAGCTCCATCCAAGCAAGAAAGCGGGGTCGCTACAGTATCTAAACACACTGACAAAAAAAGCAGCACCCAGCTAATAAGTGTTTTGTCCAAAAGATTTGTACCATGTGTTCGAACGTTCGCTAATGGTTCCAATAATTTGCCTAATGTGCGAACCATCGCATCTATCACAGAAGACCTATTAACTCCAGCAATCAACGATTTACGTCCAAGAAGTGTTAATAAAATAAATACTCTGAAAATACAAAAGGACAGTGTTTTTTTTTTAATCTTAAACATGTTTAGAAGATTTAAATCTCTCGGCGTACCTGTCTTGTGGAAATATGTGCTTAGATGACCACGAATAGAGATTGATTAAAACGTTAGACAAGAAATTGCCCCACCACGGCTGATGACCAGCCATACGCGTTAACAGCGCGACAGCCTGTAATTGTAAACGTGGTGCAGGTGTCACCACGCAGATCGAATGGAAAAACTTCTCGCAAACGGTTGGCGTAAAGACGTCGCACATCGATGCCGGTATCTAGAAGAATACATCCTCCTTATTGAACTGGAACGGTAAAGAAACATGTCCGAAGAAACTGATGGAACCTACGCTAGGTATCAAATCAATTTCGCATACTGCGAACAAAATAATATCGAGCAAAGTTTCCCCGAGTGCTCGTAGCTTGTCCGTAGGTGCATTCGCTAAAGACATCGTTGGTAGAGTCTGCGAGCCCTTCCACGACTCTAATCGTCTCCACACGCTACGCACGACATTCAGTTGATGTTGGTACATTATGCATTCCTATAAAATCCAACATGAATATTTTTTGTATAAATTACTTTTTACATTTACAACGATCGGGACACGATCTCATGGGTAGGAGGTATCGATTAACGCATCAAGTTCTCAACTCACATGATAGGTAGCCAATATTTTCGCAGTCTGTGGCTCTTTAATTTCATTAGGTGCTTTACTAAAAGATAGGTAATGCTGCATGTGCATGACATTGGTAGTCTCTGAACACAACAGTGGATCCAATAGGCTTTTCAGTTTCTCAGTAGCTAGGCTAAATCTGCACTGCACATCTTTCGCGAGGGCTGATAGAATATTGCATTGCGTGTCGATAGTAGCTTGTACGTTAGGATCAGTATTATCAAAAGCTGTTGAACTACTATCTAATTCCGCGTAGTCTTCTCCGGGTAAGACCATCATGTGCCCGTAGAAAATCCCTAACGGTATTCTACACATAGTAGGACACATCCCGTATCGACCTATGATTGTGATCTTCAAAAGAAACGAACAGTTCTCCGTTAGCAAACGAATACTTTTAATACTGTCATAATAAAAGTATTATTAAGTACCTTTAGGTATCTACAAACGGGTGGTGGTTGAAGATCGCATACGACCAATGATTTGTTCCCGATGTCGCCGGCAACAATCAGTCGTATACCATCCACTTCTTCCTTGTTCGTCCATATGTCTACAGACAGGGATGCTAAATCGCTGCACGAGGGAATGATCAAGTCTGTCAGAAGTACTGGTGATCCGAAATCCAGAATAGCGAAACGACGTGCGCTAGAATGCATCCGGTCCACCACCAATGCTTGCTGAAGCGGCCAGGACAGCAATCTTCCCCACGGGAGCGTAACATCTTTCCGCTGCAATTTACACAAATCGATAACGTTATTACACTATCTGCTTCAACGATTGCGTGACATCTACTTCGCTCTTCTACTTCTTAATAAACTGGGTCACATTCATTCAAACAAATACATAAATGTGCAAAATAATCATATCGTTCAACAGAATGGTACGCTTGAAAGGTTTCGAAAGACATTCAGGTAAACCATTCTGCTTATGAAATATTATTGAACCAGCTACCCAAAATTTCGTGGTACAAAAAGGAATATACGTAACGCTCACATTAAGTTGGCTATGAACGTAACTACGAAGCGTGCACGATTAATCTTTTCGTACGCCTCACGTCTCGCTCGTCTGTAACCACCTTTACGTACAATATTAAAAGCATTAATTGGGAACAAAATCTAGACAATTTAATCAGTACTGCGCTCGAAAAAAATTCATGGGAATTGGTATAGACAGTTCTGTATCGTCCAAGTATTTGTTCGTACGTTCGATTAGCAAAATAAATTGTGAGATAATACGATAAGAACCTGTGTAACTGGACTCATTTCATTCTAACATCTATGCTCGACGAATCTTGTAAATTATTCGAATTCGAAAATGTGCAGTATAATTAAACGATATTAAAAGTGATATATCAACGTTGAACGCATGGTATCCTAGGCTGTCATGCAATCTGCGATTCACATGTGTAATTCGGCACATCAAATAAATTATATAAACTCAGTTAACAAACAGCATATATATTACATATGTAATTAATAAAGCTATACGAAATTGATGGTAACAACAAGGTAATCGTTCAACTGATGAACAGAAAGTAAAAAAGGTGCAACTTTTTATCTAATGTAATCTACCTTTTTAGAATTGCTGTCTTCAACTTTGTTTACAGTAGTATCGATATTTTGAACGGACGATTTTTCTTTCGTTACGGTAGCTGAACTTAATATACGTGAATTAGGCATATCGTTTTGTGTATTATGCCATGTCTGATTGTTGACAGACATATCGTTAGCTTCGTCGCAAACAGGTTGATCATCAGGCGTGAACAACAGTTGCGGAGCTGGCTTCTTTAACGCTCTTCCGGTACATAGACTAAATAGATCGCTTAACATAGGTGTCGGCTTTGCCTGAACATCTGCTCCTAGCGATCCAGCGTCCAAGTTCTATAATGTACAATTATTTCTAACTGAATTATGATCCCTCTACTTAATCTCAACATCTATATCAGTTACGTAATTTGATGCACATGTGACCAGTCTTAACTGGCCTCAATCGAATAAAATAGAAGTAATCAAACTGCCTGTTTTATCGTGTAGTGTCGCTCCGTGTAACGATTTCGTTTTCTTGTCAACACGAGTTCTGTTGTCATGTTTATGTATCGACGTATAAAATAATATCGCATGCTTCATGAAATCGTTCAGAATAAAACTTGTAGTAAAGGAAGGAAAACGGAAAGGTCAGAGGTATCGTCGATACAACGATATGAGAAAGAGAGGACAATGATTCGTGGAAAGTGGACGTGCATCGTGAAAACTTACATGAATAGTCTTGATGTCAGGTACGCCGTTGTTGCTCGTAGTTGTACTATCGTAAAGAGTTGACATGTTACTTGTATTCGTACACGGGTCAATTTTCTCCAGCTTCGTGCCCTCAGAAGCAGCGAGACAAGTAAAGTGAAGAGGCTCGACCTGAATGTTCCCAATCAATTTTTTTATTATATCGCATAGATCCGGTCGGACGCGGTCTTATGAAGCGCCGATATCTTCGATAGACAGAACGTGAATAAATTACCTCTAGTAGTCCTTTCATATTGTGATTCGAACATAAAGCCTTTAACTTGCTAGACACCAGAAGTTCACTAGTCGGATGTGTAGGCAGTGTAAGTAGGTCCCTTAAATCAATAGCATCCTGAGAGTATATGGAACTTGATGATGCAGTTGACGGCCCGGTCTGTTCGTTCACGACTGACATGTACGTGGGGGGCATCGGACTGTATTTGGGAGGCATCGGCGATTCCAAATCGAACAGTTCGGTCTCGAACGGGGAATTGTACAAACCGAATCTGTAAAAATTTCATATATTCTGTCATTGCGAGACATCGTGAAGTGGAGATTCGCTTCAAAAAAGACAATTATACCTCGTCGAGAGTAATAAATGATAAGGATTTACTCGATTCGATATTTCAGCTGCTATTTGTTGTACGAGGGAAATACATTGTTGAGCAATACTATGATTTCTATCTCGTATCAATGTCCTGTTAATTAATAGCTGAAACCATCGGAGCGAGCCAGCCCATTCGACCTCGACTATCGATGGTAACAACGATACCAAAACAGACACCAACGCTTCGTCGAATGTTTGAGACGGAGGATCTTCTAAATTATAAAAACCACTGAAAGTACATTACAGAATAAATCTTAAATCCTGCGGACGATTCGCTCCAACTGCCATCATATCTTCAACTTACATGTTACAAAGCATGATTAATTTTATACACTTGTGCGCTATACTCCGACCAGCATGCAGAAGACAAGTTCTTAATAAACTAGACAACCGTGCCTGGACCGAACGAATTGTTTCCAATTGAAATGTTTTTATTTTGGCATTGTTCTGATTGCTACGTAGTCTTGTTAATCTAATAGAGGCGATCCATACGAGGATATCTAACGCAATTGATTGTGCAACTGGAGACCTATAACATTCAAATATTCATAGTATAAGTATACAGCTACAGGTGGACACAAACGAAAAGGGTGATTGCGTGACTTGTATGCACCCCACGTTTATGCCCTCCAGTAAGTAAACACCTTGTATGTACAAGTAATTACTGTGAAAGTTGTTCTTACTTCTCCGACGTCTCTAAACAAGCTACCCTTAATAAATTTTCGAAGCAACTCTGAGATTCCAATAAAGCGCATCGCTCTGCTCTTTCGCGTGGTATAGAAGTAGGATACACTGTTCGAACGGTAATTGATATTTCGTATAGCCAATCGCAACCTTTAAAAAATTCACGATGTGATTAAACGAAATGAGAGTCGTGTAAAAGGAAATAGTGAAATTATACTTACCAATATAGCCTTCTGACTTCTTACTATTTGCGCCTTCCACGAATCGACGTACTTCAACTATTCTTAGCTTTTTAGATGTAGGAGGTTTATTATCCGACGAGTTCGTTTTCGACTTTCCGGTTGTCTACAAGCAAAATAAATAATTGACTAATCATACGTGTTCTATTTCTCACTTCTGATGCGCAATACTCACGCTATCCTTCGTAGGATCAATTAGAGCCTTAATATGAACAAGAAGCGTTCTAGCTTTAGTTTCGAACAGTTTGGGACTGGTCAACGTGACACAACCAGAACGCCAGGACAAGTCCAAACTGCGATGCAGATCGATCGGTCCACATAAAATCTCGGTGTTATACTGCCGTTGAAACTCTTCTGTGACCACGGGATTCTCTCCCTTCTGCTCGTTGCCTATATTAAAGTCTATTCTTTCGTCGACAGGTGTCAACGTAGGCTCGTTATTGCCCAACCTTTTAACATTTTGCTTCAAGAGAGTAATCTGGATCGACGGTAATTCTTGACAAGCCGGGTGCAAACTATACCGTACATCCACGTGACCGATGTTTCTCGCTGCGCTTCGCGAGAGGGTCAATTCGAATATATGCTCGTCCCAAGTGGATCTATTATTTCAGGTTTAAAGCAGTGTCAATACTGAAACGAAGTATCATTTACATTTTCCAATGTATTATTATACTACCGTTCATTGTGTAAGCGCCACGTTCGAGTGTGGTGTTGATCCTCCGATTGATGAAAATGCTGAGGGTGACGACGTCGTTTTTGAGCTTGCATTTCATTCCAGCAGGGAGGCACGGTAGCACCAAACGCGGGAGATTGATTATCGAACCGTGTCAATTCGTAGAGAGTACGTAAATCCGAATATGAGAAATCTGATTTGTGCGCAATTAATTGATCTCTGTGAAAAATAATAAATAGATCAGATAGATTTAAGAACCGTATTGTATTCAAAAGCTCCATATTGTATTCGATCTTACTGAAAAGTGAATGACGTCGACGTGCTAGGAATTGTACTTTTATTAATGCTCTCTTCAGTTGACATCATATTAATATCTTCAATATCCTTCGTATTTTCCGTAGGATCCTCTTCGTCCGTGGTAATAAAAAAGTGAAGCGCACCGTCCTTCGTACACGCACACAATCTCTCTAAACCTGTAAGACACATTATTGTGAAGAAAAAGAAGAACTATCAATAAGACTATAAATAAGTATCCATTGACCACTTACTACTACAATAGGCTGCAGAAACAAACTTCTTCCCTTCTACTCTTGCCTCGCTAACAGTTTTTAATGAATTTAAATTTAATACTCGGATAATACCATCTTTGCATACTAGGGCCACTTGTCCGATAGGTTCCGATAAATCGGAATCGGCGGCGGAGCTCCTGCTAGAATTCTCCCCGGAGAGCGTCCATTTATTATTTTCTTGAAGAGGTAGAAACACGTGTTCGACAGGAGCTTCGTCCGCGGATAGTTCTCGCCTTGCTACCGGCTCAGAGAACGGCTTGACCACTTGCCCGGAGAAATCCAACGCGTAGACGAGCAATATGGCATTCGCGTTGTTCGCATCATCCTGGATTTTACCATTTATTAGTCTATCAGATTGTGTATCATTATGGTCCCAGTACACGTAACTTTTCTGCGCGAAGAACTCGCTCTCCTCGTCAACGTCCATCTGATTATTATTAGAAGTCAGCGAGTCTGCGTTATCGGTATTAGGACACATAGCAACGTATAAATGTTTTCCATCTTTAGTGGGCTCGACATGCGTGATTTTAAGGAAATCGGGAGCTTCGATGGGTAGAGTCGTTACAACAACTGGTTCAGTCTTTGTTATTTTCATGATATCCAAACTCTTTTTACTGACGGTCGTCAAGTCTGACGTTGACGCGAACTGCTCCGGACCGTTGATAGGATTAAAGTTGGCGTCGAACGAGCTCGAAGTCGGCGGTACCGTGATACCGATCGGGTTCGAGTAAATCCCGTTCGAAGACGATGCGGTGAGAGCGGACGACGAAAAAATACCATCGAAATGCGGGCCGACCACGTCCGAGTCTACGTCCTCTATTACGGGAACCTCGTAAAAAAATTTACCAACGAAAATACCTTGATACTTCAAGTTCTCTTGACGTTCCCCGTTTGAACTGGCACTGGTACCTGTTCCCGACAGTGTCTTCTTAGCCTTCGTGTCTTTAGCGTTGTCCTCTTTTATCGGTTGCGTGGTCACGGTTTTGTGATGGAAATCATAAAATACTAAATAGTGCAATCTCGACGGTGTATACTTATCACCTGCTACCTTCATTATATCTAAAGTATCACTGGCAGCACTATTTACACTGTTCATCGCGCGAACAAGAGACGACGACGAAGCTAAATCTGTTGAAGCAGCCCACACGTTCTCTAAAGTCCTTAACTGCGGTGAATTGCTAACTGTCACGGTAACAGCACACACTACACACGGCCTGATCTTCGAGTCTGATCCTTCTCCAGGTGTGGAACCAGATGTTTTTGCTTCGCTGTTTTCTGATACGGGAGGACCTATCACGGACAATGCTGTGACCTGTACGTTGTGAGAAGTTGGATGCTGATAATCAGAAAGGGGATCCGTCTCGGAATTAAGCGTCCTTAAATATGACGTCAAATTTCTTGAAGAACCGAACTGAACGGAATCTTTGTTGTTTATTTCCTGATCCACGTAAAAAGATACTTCCCTCTGGAAGAAATAAAATATAAATGCTTCTACGAAGAATATGCGCATATCAGTCGTTAAACAGATGTTTCACCTTTAATTGATTTGTTACATTCCAAATGTTAATGGACCCGCCACTGGAAGCTGTAGCTACGAGGCCGGCGACGTTCGTAGTGCTAATCAAATCTACGGAGTCTCCGACCTCGCGCGCAGGAGCAGTGGCGAGGATAACAGACAGAGGAACATTTTGCGTGTACTCTCCTTTCACGAACGGACACCCCGGGGAATGTCGTTCGTGTTCTGACCAAGGCTCATCTGGCGGTTCCCAACAAACTAGACAGATGTTGCACGTAAAGCACATTATCCTATCGTCACCTTTGGTGTTTGGTTGGTGATAAAAACCAGCCTGAGCCATTTGATCGGGCAGAGCCCATCTAAAACGAAACGTGCGTGTAACAGGCATACGGGAGAAGCTACGAGCAACTAATAATGATTAGACTGCGGATTATTATGTAAAATAAAATATCTAGACATGATTTGCATTTGTAAATTAAACGTCATAGCATCCACGTTGCTCCCAATATTATATATGCTTTCACATAGTGAGTGCACTTTTCAAAATTCAGCACACATATGTCTTTTATCATTGTATAAATATCCGCGGTCTAGTAATCAGCTCAAGGTTTTTACTTGTAATTCATATGTGGCCATTTTGAGAAAGTATCTCGACGCGTTGCTTCGCTGAACATTAACGCCTTGTCAACGGGACCTTCTAATGGCAGGCCTGGCAGTAGGCCATTTAATCGTTCTGTAATGGCAGAAGCAATCGGCAATGCTGGAATATATCTGCTTATACCCTTTGCTTCCGTTACTAATCCTTTGCTAATCCTGAATGTCAATTCTGTTACTAATCCTGAGCACACAAGCTTCAGAGAAGCATGTGGTAATTCCAAACATACTGTGTTCCACTGTATCAAGCGAAGTATGTTAATATCCGGACACATCCGTCACGAATTCATTTGATTTTACATCCGGTGCAGACACTTACTTTTTGAGCTTTTATTCCTCTTTTCCGTTTCGCCTCTCTTGCAAAAGTTTTATTCATCAATTCTTCCTGCACTTCTTGCACATGATCTATGCCTGGTATGTCTACGCTACGTAGACACTGATATAACAAAGTAGCTTCAGAAAACAATAATTCCAATTTTACAGTATCTTCACTCCTTGAGACAGGCGTTTGTAACAGAGTATCCAAAAGGAGTACACCATTGTAATCACTACGAACTCCAATTCCTCTCCCATCTGTATACAATATTTTATCTACACCATTTGATAAATACGTGCCTTGAAACTTTCCATTTAATTTTCCTACGAAAGTAAAATAAAGGATTGAAGTATCAGGGTCGTAATGAATGTTCTGTAGATTCTATTATCAATCATTTCGCACACAATGTAAACTATAAATTGATATATATCTAAATGTAATCATTGATGGGCATGCTGTATACAAATACATATACAATATCGAGATAATGGTATGTCCAGGAAAGAATGATTAGACATGCTACATTAACGGACTTGGTTTTAAACAGACGATCAAACGATCGCAGCAATTTGACAACGCATTGAATGATAAGGGCTGATCGTTAAAAATGTTACTTGGTAATAAAGCAATGAATCATGTTGCTAAAATTGCAACGAAATCAGAAAAACTGTAGACCCGCCTGACGTATACACGTATACGACCTTGACCATGAGGCGTTATTACAAATTTCAAATGTAATCGGTTGCAAAATGTGCAACGAAACGATCTGTTAACTAGTCTAGATTCTCGTTTGTATCCGACAAACGCATCGCAATGCTTACCGGATAAAGAACTCTTTTGCAAAATTACTCCTGAGTTGACATCAAATACGTATACTTGCGCACTGCCAGTGGTAATTAATAACACATTTAGATTAGCATGATAGATTATACTTTTACACTCGGTGTCCACATTTAAATAACTGTCTTCCTTCAATAACCACGGATCATCAGCCATTTTGCTCATACAGCTTACAATTCACAAAAATTTGCCTAATGCGCGAACATCACAAAAAATATGGCGTACTCATCACCGCCATCTTTGAGTAGAACGTCAGCAAATCGGCATGAAGTTAGCCAAAAAGTTATCAAACGATTAATCCGATTCCTATATATCGATATACCATTGCGTTCTCTTCGGAAGTTCGAAAATCTCGTTGAATATTTATTTAAATAATTGTTATAGCAGTAGAATTTAATAAGACTATGGTCAAATTATAAATTTCAATATCCTGATAATAGACTACCTGATACTCTAATTGTAACTTCACATAAATCGACGTCCCTACTTACATGGATTTAAATATCTACATGGAACAAGGGACAAAATAATTCTAAAATTCAGATGAAACGAACCGTTTTACAATTACATTCTATTCTTTTTATTTCATATGTACAAGAAACTGATACAGAAGTTTAAACTGCCCTAAGTACTTTAGTTTCCTTGGCTGCTTGCAATTCATCCAAAAAGTTCTGAACTGCCTCTTCCCTCTGTTTCATGAATTCAGCATGTTCCTCAGGATCTAAAGTACGGACAATTTCTATACCACATGTTCTCGCTATGCCGACGAGCATTTGACAAATTTGCTGTAAATTCAGTAATGCTAAGGGTGGGTCTTCTGCTTTAATACAAGCAATCTCATATAAGTGTTTGAACGTTATTTTTCCTGCTACGTCCCCTGGAACAATAATATGGTTATACATTTAATAAATTTTTGGTTTTACATCTCATTTACCTTTTCTCATCCTTCCTTTTTCAATCCCAGCTGCTTGTTTCAAGAAATAAGTTGCTGGAGGTTTGTGAATGACTAGATCGTAAGTTCCATCTCCTTTCACTTTAACGCGGCATGGTAAAGGTATGCCTTCTTTGTAATCCTGCGTTCTTGTATTAAAATCTTTGCAAAAATTCGGTACGTTAATGTTCCTCTAAAAAGCAACGACTCGTTATGTTATGAAAATGGGAAATTAATATACGAGGTGTTTTTAACCTGTCCGAGTTGAGAGCCCAGCGGTGGTTTAGCACTCGCCATCCCCGCTGGAATGTTTGTTCGCAGAGGTGTCTTATGCTCCACCTTTGGTAACGCCTTTCTCATCATACCCCCCCTTTTCATTGCCTTAGACATTTTCGCTTATTATTTAAAACTTTCTCAATCTGTAATAACTGCAAAGTATGCACATTTGACCCCAAAATTTACGTAGTGACAGGGACTAACTTCACATGCTTAGTATACATAGTTTATATGTATGTACTATAGACATAGACAACTATAGCGAGAATTATGGCTGGTTGTATGTGCATGGTCAGAACTTACGTACAATACAGCCAATACAGGTAATTTCTACCTTATTTTTGTGTTATATATCGTGAATGTCTATAATCCTTTCATAAATAAATGAACTGTTGATCGTTTTATATGTCTATTTTCATTGTATCAACATTGTATCAACTTGTACAATTAATTCATTGACGAGTTAACAAGGTGCTAATTCTCTTTTTCATGTTCCTCATTGATATCTCTTACAGTTTATCAAAATCAAAGCCATTGATAGATATTATCTGGAGAGAACAATGTGTGAATTATCTTTTACAAACTCTAAGAGCATCCCAGATGCAACATCAATTTTACCATACCACGCCAGCCTTTTTCAAGAAAAGAAAAACCACCAGTGAAAAGGTATAATCTTAACTCAATTGTCATTTCTCAATTTGTCTACTTAAGTGGATCCTTAACTGTTATAAATTGTTTCCAGAAACTAGTATTTGTGGAAGAGATGTTATATGACGGTACCCTCAAGAGAATTACTAAAAAATCGGTGCCAGCCGTAGATATGTGGGTTGGAATGACAGTTACAGAATTAGCAGAATCGGCTAAGAGAAATGTTCAGGATGTTATAGAAGTTCTTTATCGTGTACAAAGAACTGATTCTTTCCAGAAAGATAGTGTTCTCTCAGATATTGGAACATTAACTGCAGCAGCAAAAAGACTTGGATACAAATCTAACTTTATATCAAAACATGTAGAGAAGGATGTGAAATTTAAAGATATTACCAGACGGTAATAAGAAATGAATTTGTTTAATTTATAAAGCTGCCAAATTTGTCCAATTTTCGACTTAAACTCGTTATACTATTAAATCCTGCATAGACCTCCACCTGATGAATCTAAATTAGTGCCGAGACATCCAGTTGTAACAATAATGGGTCATGTCGATCATGGCAAGACAACTTTATTAGATGCATTACGACATTCATCAATCGTGGATTCGGAGTTCGGTGGAATTACTCAACACATAGGTGCCTTCGATGGTTAGTATCGAGTTGACCTTTAAACATTTGTACAATTAACAAAATCCTAATTACGTAATTCTTTTAGTAACATTGGAGTCGGGAGAGCGAGTGACTTTTTTGGATACACCTGGGCATGCAGCTTTCACAGCTATGCGTTACAGAGGGGCTCATGTAACAGATATCGTGGTATTAGTAGTAGCGGCGGACGACGGTGTAAAGGATCAAACTTTGCAAAGCATAAGGATGGCAAAAAATGCTAAAGTTCCAATTATCGTGGCTATTAACAAAATCGATAAGCCCAACGCTAATATTGTAATTGTTCAAAGACAGAGACTACTTTTAATTCGAAAGTTCGGATCTTTTAACGAGTGTAATAATGTTTGTAGAAGAAAACACAAGAAGAACTTGCGGAACAGGACATCGTGGTCGAAGAACTCGGCGGTGATGTTCAGTGTGTGAAAATATCTGCTTTGAAGGGAACTAATTTAAAAGAATTAACTGAAGCCATAATTGTGCAAGCTGAGATAATGAATTTAAGGGGAGATCCTTCGGGTTTGGTAGAAGGTGTCGCTATCGAATGCAGTAGTCACATTCATCGCGGGAAATTAGTCACGGCTTTAATCCAACGTGGCACTCTAAAGAAAGGATCTTTATTAGGTAAACAGAGATAGACAATTTCCGTACGATTTGTCAAGCTTAATTTATGAGGGATTGAAAAGGTTCCGCAAAAGCTATAAAAGCCGAGACCGTACTAACAGTTATGGCCTTTTTTCGGTAATCCACAACTGTTTCGAGAATTGATATGCTTTCAAACCCTGTAATTTATATTTTTCTTTTTACAGTTTCTGGGATTGCATTTGCAAAAGTAAGAGCTATGTTCAACGAATCCGGCCATCCCGTTTTAGAGGCGAAGCCATCAGAGGCAATACAAATCATTGGGTGGAGATCTCTACCCGATGTTGGAGACGAAATATTGGAAGTGGAGAACGATCGAGTATTGCAAGAAGTTTTAAAATTCCGAGAGAAAAAACGTGACGAAGCTTTAGCCATTAAGCATCAGAACGTTGCCGATAAAAAGCACAACGAACATCTTATTGTAATGTTGAGATATTTATCATTCCGTGTGTATTACAATCTTATTACGATATTTATTTAATACGATACTATTTTTATACTTATAGGACTATAAAAGGATATTAGGGATAAGGAGATTATTCGGCAGAAATAGAGAAGTGATAAAGATGGCAGAGGAAAAGTTGGCCGAGGACAAAAAGAAACGCACAATTGTAGATACAACTCCTGCGATTAACGTTATCTTAAAAGGAGACGTCGCGGGAAGTGTGGAAGCGTTGTTAGATATTTTTGATACCTATACATCCGACGAAATATGTCGTTTAAATATAGTTCACTATGGTGTTGGACATGTTACCGAGTCAGATATAGAATTAGCAGAAACATTTAATGGTCAGATAAATTTAAAAACATTATTCCATACATTATAATATTTTTTAACCATTTACCTGTTTTTTCAGCGATCGTCTATGCCTTCAATGTAAATATAAATAAGCAAATAGAAGCGGAAGTTAAGAAAAAGGATGTGACTGTTTGTTTTTATAATATAGTGTACAAACTTATTGATGATGTTAAGAAACGAATCAACAGCGTACTGCCGGAAGTTGAGGTCGAGGAAATACTAGGTAATAAAATCATGGTAACGTAATAATTACACGTTAATGGTACATTCTGTTTTTCTACAGGTGAGGCAAGGGTGTTGCAGCAATTTGAAATAAAGGATCGAAACAAGAGGGTGACCGTTGCAGGTTGCCGTTGTACAAGCGGTATTCTCTTGAGATCAGAAATGTACCACGTAATAAGAAAGAACGAAAAAATTTATACAGGTAAACATACTGGTTAATTAAATAAAATCAACATCAATTCAATTTTGATCTTTATTCCCCATCTCATTTCTCGTCGAATATTAACTTAATACAAATAGCACACATTTTGTATATGTTCAGTCGTGAATTAACAATATTCCAATACTTTGTCGTAGGGAAATTGGTATCGATGAGGCACTTAAAGGAGGAAATGCCATCGATAGAAATTAATCTCGAGTGTGGCCTTAGATTCGAAGATCCGATATCATTCCAACCCGGGGACGTTGTTGTTTGTTTTACATTAAATAGGCAGAAACAAACGATCGACTGGGATCCTGGATTTTAATCAGATGTCATTGTATTTAAAAACATACAAAATAATAAATCCACAAATACAAAATTAAAAGTACACAACGTAAAACGTAATCCTTTCTGCCCGTCTGCCTTCCTACCTTTAATCGCGCCAGCGGGAGATTAACTTATATTTGTATAAAATGCGGTTTTACAAAATCTAAGTACAAATTCATTTTATTATTGCTCTCTTTTTGTAGCAACACTTTCTCTTACATTTCACCGATGGATCTTCTTCAGACGAATTTGAACCATCGTATCACATTTTTCTTTTCTTTGCATACTAGTTTCTGTCGAGAAAAATTTGTAATGTCTCAAGAGAATTCGGTCTGACGTTCGAAAGTTTCAGGTCTTTTCACCATGTAATCGATATCAACGGTGATCATTGGATGTATCCTGATGAAGAGAACACAAAAACGTGGCTCCTATCGTGACAGTGTTAAGAGGCATAAGTTTCTCGTAAACGACGTTGAATGTGATGATACGCGTTTAGTACGCCGCGTTTCTTTTTCTGTAAACGACACGGCGCCGCTTCCTGATTCAGTATCGCGATTTTTGTGTCTAAAGGTTTGATCGAGGCATCGTTATCCGGGTGTACGAAAAATGCAACGGAGTGACGACCTCGGCCGCAGTGCTCCGGCACGACGACTCGATGTCTCAATGCGGGCAGTTGATCGTTTGTCCAATTCGCTAATATGTCGCCGGTCTTCACTAGAATAGCACCCGGGAGGTGACCGACTCTTCCCCATCGTTCTCCGAACGGTGTCTGGATCTCTAGGCCTCCCTCGCAATCCTAAAAATAATTGTTCATCTGTTGTAATGCTCACGAAATAACTCATATAATTATATACTTTCTGTATTTATCACATTTATTGCAAAACGATAAGTTTAGCAAACGCACGTTACCTGCGCTAATAACGTGAAGGTCCCATAATCGCAATGAGCGCCGCAACGAGCCAGTCCTGGCGCTGGAGCACCAAGCGGTGGGTAGTAGAGGAGACGGAGAGTCGACTCGTTTCCAGGTCCCAGCAACCGCGAATGCTTCGAGAGCAGGAAATCAGGGGATTGATCTAGGCCCACGGCTAGAGCCTGCAAAGCATAGGTCACACACATTAGCCCTTATCTTTTACTTTATGGCACTTTAACAACTGGCAGTAAAGCAACCGAAGAACCCAATTGCGTTAGTTCTCGCCCGTCGGATAGATTGGTTTAGTTAATCGATCTCGGGAGCCTCGTATTCAACATCGATGCAGTATCCAGATTATTTAGAGGAATTTTTAAAAGGAGAATTAGTCAACGAATAACTTGAATCGCATCAGACTCGATAACTTTAAAAAACGGTTTAATTTCTATCAGTGGGAAAAAATTGCATTACGGTTAGGAGCATGGCCGAGAGTTGTTTGAAATCCCTCGCGAGTTCGTCGACCGCCGATCTGAAACCAGGCACCTCCTCGTCTGGAAGATTTCCTTCGGAGCCGATCACGTTGAAAACGTGTCGAGCTTCCTTCTCGTCGGTGTATCTGTAAGGCAGGAGGAAAGTTCCAATAATCACAACCGTTTAATTAAACTCGACTGGGAAGAAAGTTTGGTACAATATAATTATAAGAAATCGTACTTTGACGGTCCTGGTTTCACGTATCCGTGATTGCCCGATGTGACGCGCTCGTATTTCGCTTTCGAGTCCTCCTTCAGCTCGCAGAATGCGTCGAAAGCTCTGTACGCGGCCTTCATCTGTGAACATTATCAATATTATTTCGTTAAATATACTTAAGAAAACTATCTAATCGCTAAAAATGGTTGTATGATTTATTTTATCATTATTTGAGTTAGAAAAATGAAAGGTATTTCCCGAGCGGAGAACTGAAGATGTTCCACAAGTTCTCAGAACGGTCAGTGATCTAAATGTTGAAACACTTGAGAGGAGTTGCTCTTAATTGAGCCAGGCATTATGTAATTAACGTCTTTGTTCTCTATCAGGAACCTTGGCAGGTGACATCCTCGAGTCATCGATAAAACCCGTTGACGTAATGTTTGTCATCACGGTGATTCGTGCTACTTTCGTTATCGTTAACCCACGAATCACCGATCCGCGTGAGACTTCATTCCACAAATATTAAAGGGACCATGGGATCAGCCGAGCCTTTATGTAATTACAGTGCAAAGTTGTGTAATCATCCAATGAATTGTTCTTCCAGTAAAATTAACTTGATGACTGTTTCTCGGATATCTTATGGCGTTCTTAGACCGTCGAATTGATTCGAGTAAAAATAAGGTACGTGTCAACATTTCAGTTGATTTCATAGCCAAGGCGATGACAAAACACACAGATAGCGTTCAGTTTAACAGCGAGAATTATTGCATCATTTGTGGAAACTACTTGCATTTTTTGACGTTGCCAATCATCGAAGGAAAATCATTGCACAAGTAGACGTATTTAATATTTCAATGAATGCGAATTTTCAATACTGTTTTAAGACAATGCTAAACTCCTGCCTTAGATCAAACTTCATGACTGCACTCCGCAGTTTTATTTGAATAACATGAAATTTCATATTAGAGTCGTTTTGAAATTCTTTCCCGAGTATCTATTTTTATGTAAAACGTCGACCGTCGTGTTTAAATAATCAATCGTGTATCATTCATTACTAGTTACACAAGAAACTTTATAATTTAAACAAATTTCATATGCAATAATTCGCTCCGTATTTTACTATGTTGTTCTTTTTCGTAAGGAAATCCTTATTGGGATTCTCCAATTATTTCTTCACGGATGGAAACCTGCAACGAAATAGATCGTCCGATAAACATTCGACGCAGGCGAGTTGCAGCAATGTAAACGAGTCAACAATAACAGCTGATACAAAATAACAATGTAGTTCCGTTGGCTTGAGCAATTATTCGAGGAATTCCAAGGCATCGTACGGATGCTCTTCTCCGCGCGTGTCACTCCCACCGCTCTAATTCGGTTCAAGCCGAGGTAATTAAAAACGAAGGTTCTCCCAACACATGTACCTACGTTGATAATAAAAACGACTGCACGGACAATTGAAAAAAGAACCAGTGCAGGATAGATTGACTGAGAGAGAGGTAAGACGGTACGCTAATAACCGGCGTTGCGAATCTTGTGAAATAATGAACGCTGGCTTCCTTAGTTATTACAGATGTTGTAATCGCGTTACGCAATCATCAATAATGAATTACCAAAGTATACTTATGTACTTTATAACGAGCAATAATTCCCCGAGACGTTGAAGAATTACTGGAATTACCCGGTTGACTGATTCCTTCTTACAAGAGAGTCAAAGCGTAAAGAAGGCTAGATCCCAATTTGTTCAGTTTAAAAATTCTTTAAATTGCTTAGATCTTAGACCGCGTTTTTTTTATATAAAAAACAAAACTCGTCGGTTATCAGTTTAAGGATGTATTGGCTATACAGTCAATTCCAAAAGTTTATGTACCTTAAAAATCGCATTTCCTATAATTAAAGAGAAATCAGACGTCGGAAGAACAATACTAATAATAAATAGCTACGTGCTAAAAGGTATAGAAGGAAAT